GCTAAATCATAACAATACATCCTAATAGTTGCTAGAAAGAGATGTATGTAGACATTAAAAGGAGATCACCAGAGAAAGGAATTATTGAAGATCACTTCCAAATGAAATAGCTACCAAGAGCGAACATAATGACAAAAATAGTTTTTCTACCTATGTTTAGATATTAGACTGAATGTAAACTTTTAAGAGGTCTGTAAAATAATAGCCTAAAGTGTCTGTTTAAATTCAGATTGGTCATTAATTAATAAAAGTGCTAACATTTACAGAACAATTATTCTACAAGATGCTTAGAAATGATTTACCTTACATTTCAGACACATGTGACATCCAATATATACGTTTTACAGTGCTAAGTGATAGAAATATATGCAAGTATGGGCACAAGATTATATTACATTGTAATTTGCTTACAAGGTAGGATATTATATTACATGCCACTACATGTAAGATAAATGGATTTCTCGTGTGGCACTGTGGTGTCACCACTGGCGGTGGACCACAAGGTATACAGTTCAAATCAACCAGCTGTTCCTCAGACACCTTATACAGGTTTATACAACATCACTATAAATCTAAATAGACTTGATGGCAATTAACAACAGCCTTGGAAATAAGTCATATAATTTACAATGTAGCATAATATATTTTAACTTATTTATAATATAATATTACTATCTTGGAAATAATTTACACACATATTGAGAATAAAGAAGAAGGCAACTTCATATTATTTCCTAATAATCAATGCCAATTGGATGGAATAAATTTAGATAATTGCAAGCCAGAAACATTGTAAGATTTTTTTTTCACGTATTTATTCCCTATATATTTAGGATTCTTATCTGTCTCTCCTGTCCAAAGAAAAGTTCCTAAAGATGCCTAATTTTACCACAGTGACTGATTTTCTGCTTGCAAGATTTTCTGATGTGTGGAAATTCAGAGTATTGCACTCTGCTCTCTTTCTACTGACCTACTTGGCAACACTGATGGGGAACCTTCTCATTGTCACAGTAACCACCCTTGACCAGAGTCTTCACACCCCCATGTATTTCTTCCTTAGGATTCTGTCTATCGTGGATATGGGTTATATTTCTATCACTGTACCCAAAGCCTGTATAATCTTTCTATTTGACAGCAGGGTAATCTCCATAGTTGGATGTGCAACTCAGATATTCCTTATACTTTTGTTTGCTTTTGTAGAACTTATGTTACTCACTATCATGGCCCGTGACCGCTATGTAGCTATTTGCCACCCTCTCCACTATCCTGTTATTATGAACCCTCAAGTCTGTGTACAGATGTCTCTGGCATCCTTACTCAGTGGTTTTGTCTATGCAGGATTCCACACAGGCCTCACATTCTGTCTTCCCTTCTGTCAATCAAACATAATCCATCAATTCTTCTGTGATATGCCTTCTCTGCTGAAGCTCTCCTGCTCTGACACCTTCATCAACGAGATTATAATTTTTGTCTCTTCAGTTATGTTAGCAGGTGGTTGTTTTTCCTTAATTATCCTGTCTTATATTCGCATACTTTCTACTGTACTCAAGTTTCCAATCAGAGGAGAACGAAGAAAGGCTTTTTCCACCTGTGTTCCACATATTCTCGTGGTGACAGTCTTTCTCAGTTCAGGTGCTGCTGTGTATATGAAGCCAACCTCCAACTCACCTAAAATTCAAGACATGATTGTTTCTGTGTTCTACACTGTAGTCCCTCCCTTCTTAAATCCTATGATCTATAGTCTTCGGAACAAGCAGATCAAAATGGCTGTATGGAGAATTATTAATACTATGCTGTATTCAGGAAAATTATAAGATCATTAATTTGAGATATTGTTACTGTTAAGAGAAACATTTAGAATATTTAAATTTATCTTTTTTCTCATTTCCAAAATTGAACACCTGAATTGATTTCTCATTGATAATCACTATAATATATGTTACAATTAAACAATATATTTATACATTGATATATATATTTTCCATTCCAAAATACTCATTTCCTGATATCTAAAACATATATAGAAAGACTTAATATTGCTAAATATCTCTTTAGAATTATCTCGAAAGTCTTAGAATAGACAAACTATGAATTAATTCTTTTTGCAGTAATAAGAGCAAGACTCATTGATATACTTAAAATATTCTTTAAATTATGTAAAATAAAATCTGAGAACTGCTGATAATATAATACTAACTGTTTTTCATTAATAAAAGGAGAAGCATCTGAAAAAGTGGTTGGTGAGAGAACAATGAGTCATTATGGTATTTTTTATACTCTGAGAATAAAACTTTGAAATAAAAATATTTACAAAATACAAATCACTGTTTTTATAAAAAGTTTAGGGTCACAACTAATTATGTGTTGTTGTGTACTATTGAGGAGATTAAATATAAAATTACAACTTTTATTTATAATATAAAATTACAACATCCTCACAGGGTTTCCATGATTGTCTGGTAGCTCAGTGGTTAATGAATCGGGCTGCGAACCTCAGGGTCAGCAGTTCGAAACTACCAGCTGTTCCATCAGAGAAAGATGAGGCTTTCTGCTCCTGTAAAGATTTACATCCTAGGAAACCCTGTACAGGATTGCTATGAGTTGGAATTAACTCCACAGTACATCACCACAACCACCACCACCACAATCTTTAGTGAAACTTTCTGTCTCATTTCTCTCATGTAGAGCAAATAATTGAATCATAATTCATTACTATTTTTACTTCTTGTTGTTAATAGCCACTGAATTCTTCCAACGCAGAGATTCTATGAAGAACAAATAAAATACTGTCTGGTCCTATGAACTCGTCACCTCTGTATTTACTGGTATGCTGTCTTTCCGATCAGGCTCTACACGATTATCTTTTCTGTGATTAGCCTATGTGCCACATTTTCTCTTCCTTTTTTTTTTTTTTTTATTCTTTTTACTTCCTTCTTTTAATTTTTTAATTTTTGAACCACCAAAGAATGACTGATTCCATACTACCCAGTTACATCTGCAGTCCCACCAATTGAGAGTTACCCTACCTGGTCCAGCACAATGAGTTGATGTCAGACAGTGGCCAATACTACCCACTCTGGATTGAGCTGTTAAACAAGTGAACAGAGATGCATGTCCACACACTCAGTCACATGTGGTGAAAAACCCACTTCTGCAAAACTAGTAAGCAAAGTAGCACTTTTATCTTAACTGTATAGATAACTAAAAACAAAACAAAAAATTATGATGAAGCAAGCCAACATATGATTACAAACAAATAAAATGACATCACAATATCTTCAAGATAACAGACAACTTCAAATAAAACAGACACACACACACACACACCACAGGGCAAGATACTAAAATAAAGGGCAAGAAAATCTTCTTGAGGAAGTAATAGTAATGGAACTCACCTTAAGGAATGGTAATGCATGATATTAAAGTCTTCCAGCAGAGTACTCCAGAGATCATGAAAAACACAGAGAAAACTACAGAAAAAAATCAGGAAAACAATTCAAGAACAACAACAAAAAAAAAACTTCAATTATAAAACATATAAACACAAGACTAACATTAAAATTTCAGAAAGAGATATGTACAAGAAGGACATAGATATAGACCTAAATCAAAGAAAGACAGAATCAGTGACATTGAAGACAAACCCTTTAATACTAATCTGTTAAAGGGACAAGAAAAAAAAAAAAAAACATGATGATATCCTTAGCATTATGTAGAATAGCATCAAGAGGAATAACTTAACATACAACTAGAATTCCATAACAGATGAAGAAATGAAAAGCGTAGAGAAAGTTTTAAAATAATTAGCAGAAAACATCCTTACTGCAATCAAAGACAAGAAGACAATGACTCAACTCCACATAAAAGAGACATCAAAGCAAATCACCAGGACATATAATAATCAAACTTCCAAAACCAAAAGCAAAGAAATAAACCTGAAGGTACTATGGGAAAAACAAAAAGCTACCTAAAAAGGAGAACCAATAAGACTCAGGTTTGAATTCTTGGTAGAAATTGTGTAAGCAAGGTGAGATGACATATATAAAATGCTGCAATACATATGCCAACTAATAATTATATATAAAGCAAAATTATTCCTCAAACGTGACAGTGAAATTAGGCCATTACAAGATAAATAAAAATCAAGGGAATTTGTAAAACTAGGATCAAAGTTTCAAGAAGTACTAAAGGAGTTCCTTAGTTCAGATAACAAACACCATGTCAACACCAATCAAAAACAAATGCAGAAAAATTTTTTATATAAAAAAGAAAATGTACAAGATCTCAAATAAGGAACCAGGAGCACCAAACTGTAATCAAGGACATCTATTAAGTAAAAATAGTAACAGATGATGTAGTTATCCT